ATTTTATGGTCTCTCCACCCAACAGGAGGTAATGGAGCTTCGTAACCAGATCTCCCAGTCAGGAGTGCAGGTGGATGTTGATGCCCCTAAAGGACAAGATCTGGCCCAGATCATGGAGGAGATAAGAGCCAAGTATGAGAAGATGGCTCTGAAGAACCAGGAGGAGCTGAAGGCCTGGCACGAATCTCAGGTATATTCCAAAAGATAATTATTTTCTCGAAATCAAGTCTTGTTAAACACTGTTGCACGTCGATAGCACTGTTTTGCGACTAAAGTGAAATGTTATGCTCTCTCCAGATCACAGAGATTCAGGTACAAGTCACACAGAACACAGAGGCCCTCCAGGGTGCACGTACAGAAGTCAACGAACTTCGCAGACAAATTCAGACATTGGAGATCGAGCTGGGGTCACAGAAGAACCTGGTGAGTTTGTTTTCTTGTAGCCATTGTAGAAGCTGCAATTTCCAACTGGTCTTTACAATCCTTTTTATTAAATTAGCTGTATTCAAGTATCATGTCTTGAATTTGTCTCAAGACTTCTTCTCAATGAAGTCTACTCAAACTCTTGGGTTCTCTTTGTTTGATTCTCCAGAAAGGATCACTGGAGGCCAATCTGCGAGACACAGAAATGCGCTACAACATGGAGATTGAGAGTCTCAATGCTGTCGTTATGCAACTGGAGGCTGAACTCACACAACTGCGCAACAACATCCAGCAACAGACGCATGATTACGAGTCTCTGCTGAACATCAAGATGAAGCTGGAGGCAGAAATTGCCACCTACAGGAGGCTTCTGGATGGTGGGGACTTCAAGTAAGTTTTCTTCTGAAGCATACAGAGATTTTTTCACAGCACTTCACCATTTGTGTAGGCGTGTCCTGTGGTTTTTCAACTTTGTGACTAGGTTTGCTAGAGTATTTGTTTTGTGTGGTTGGTAACAAGTATGTTTTCTCCTGCAGGCTCCAGGATGCTCTTGAAGAGCAAAAGAAGGTGAAAGTAATGACGGTCACACAGACGCTGGTGGATGGGAAGGTGGTGTCTTCAAGCACAGAAACCAAGGAGAGGAAACTTTGAACATCAAATTTCAGATCAACCTCCACGACACATCAGAAAAACCTAATGGGCCAATGATAACATGATCTAAAGACAGGTTGGACTTAACACATTAGATATTTATTTAGTCCAAGGTACCTTAATGTAAGTGTCTCAGAGCACATTTGCAATGAGATTTTAACTAGCACATTTCAAAACTAACTTAAAACAAAAAATCTTAATGTTTTTTGTTTTTTTACATTTTAATAACTACAACCAAAAAAGACTGAAGGTCAAAAAACACTATTGAACTTTATTAAATATTTTTGAAATGACAATGATTGTTTACGATCATCAATTGTCCCATTTTGGTTTTATGTCGTGTTGTTGTCATGATGTCTTGTCCTTTCAAATAAAAGACACTTTCATCAAATCTTTGCATTCTGCTGGTCATTAAAGTTTTTTGACAATATTCCAGTCAGTCTGATCAAAGGTAGCTTTGGGCCTCAAGTGTCATCATTCTTGGCACCCATTTTTAGGGGGGAAAAAGGCCCTTAAGTTGCATAATTAAACCAGACAGTTTTTTCAAAATTTCATATAATTTCAAACAATTTTCATAAAAAATAATGTAATTTAATAAAAATATATAATTGGTGGCTATGTGAACATTAGATAAAAAATTAAAAAATAAATCTGAAGAACTAACTAAATGCTACTTATGTCTTCACAAAAAACAAGAAAGGAAGACAGCCACATTCTATAACTGACTATTAAATAATGTCAGTTGTGATGAGACCTTTTGTTGTGGAAGTCGGTATCTTTAATATTTATTTCAGCCACTGTGACTTGTGAGAGTTATTCATAGCTATCGTGAGAACAGAAAAAGGGGCTTGATTTTGTTAATTTATTCATGCAGACAGCATGAGCTCCTGTAAGATGTTGTTTGAACAGAATGATTTTATACAGTTAGTCCATGTTAGGACTTATCTAAAATAAATTAAAATTAATTCTAAAAGACATATTACTGAAAAAATACCAAATGAGGTCAGTTGAGTAGTTAAAGGGTATAGTTCACCCAAAAATTTTAATTGTCATCATTTACTCACCTCATGTTGTCCCAAAAATTTTACGAATTTCTTCCTTCTTCAAAATGCAAAAGAAGATCATTTGAAGAAAGTTTCAACTGTGTTTGTCCACACATTAGCCGCTTTTCCACAGTCGGGCCAGTGCGAGCCAGTGATTTAAACGGGCCGGGCGGGGCTAATAGCCTCGGACCTGTAGCACCGAGGCCAAAATCACGCTGTGTTTCCACCGTCGGGGCAGAAGCTCTGCTGTGCTTCACTAAAACCCGCCCTTTACACGCCTCTCAGGAACAACGTCACGCAACCCCATCATTTCACCAACAAAGAGAAGTTATCAGAAAACTAATAAGAAATAAGTCACTGGAACTAACGCGATCACAAAACGAACATGATAAAAGCGGCCGTTTGTTTGCATGCTTTGTTAAAGATTTAAATCCAAAAGCATCAATGTTTTACAATAATAAGTGATACATTGATCATAATGAATTAATTTATCAGGATTGAAAATTAGTCACACAGAAATAAAGTGGTATGAACATAGCCTACCTACTTATTCAGTCGAGTCCGTTTGTTTATTTGTAGTCACAGTATATACATCACATTTAGAAAGAATGATCATTTCTATATTTTTATAAAAGCTCCCGAACAAAAACCATTATTATATTTGTATGACATACGCTGAGCTAAACTCTCGAGACGAGACTTATGACAGATAAAATACGTTACTAAGTAAATACACGATTGTGATAGAGAATTAGAAGCTAACGTCTGATTTCTTCAAGCGGTCGTATTTATGTTTACTATGGTAACGTTAATGGCTAGCGTGCATAGTCTTTTGCATCGCTTATAAATATTTCTGCCTTGTATGGTGATCATAATACACTTTGGATCAAGTTATTTCAAACACTCGCTGCTGTCTGAAAGTTAGTTTTGAACTCAAATTATTTTAAAAGTCTTTAATGCTAGTGTTATCTGTTAAATTTCTGAAATGATCCGTGGCGCTGACGCTCTCCAGACGTAGAGAAACTCCGCCTTTGTTCATAACCACTCCTCTAGCCCCAGCTGGCCCGCTTTGGCCCAAGGTTTTCGTC